CATATAACCGCGCATACTAAATGAGGCAAGGGTGTCGAGTTACATTCAAGATACATTTCAAGGAAAAACATTTAATGGAATTTTGGATGATTAAAGATGATTTTTAAGGGATAAAAGGATACACTGGAGTGCGAACTATTCATTTAACAATGATCCACAATGTGTGTGTGAGATGCAGAAATGCTAAAATGCACCGATTCAGAAAAATTTGTCTGAAAATGGCGTGTTTCAGTCTGTACTCTTTCTCTCCGGAAGAGAAGCTACAGCTATTACACCCACTGACTTGTAATGATTGTAGGAAACGCAGATAAATACGCCTCTTGCTGCCGTCTAGACGGATGGGGTGATCATGGAAGAGTGAAATGTGTGTGTGTGTGTCTTCAGAGACATCTGTTTCGCTATCAGTCATGCACTTGGAGAAGGCGGCGAGGCCCAATCAGGAGGGATGTGAACCCGAACCCGCCAGTGTTCAGGCTGTGATCTCATTAACCTGAGCGGACACAGCTCACCTGTTCAAGTGTTGGTCATTAACCCGCAGCAGACGCTTCCCTCACCTGCATTCATTTCATTACATTGTTTCGTCATGTTCACGGAAAGTCTATCCTCAGACAAAACATTATTATCCCTGTTATATTTAACAGTCTATTTATATACATTTTCTATCTCTTGAACCAGAACTATAAACGAAAACAGCCACTAAGCTAAAATGAAATGATATTAAGAGGCTGTTTTTTTTAAACTAAAAACGTAAAACTTTGTATGGCTGTTCTTTTACATGACGATGGCCTGAAAACACAAACCTCTGAAGTTTTTGAAAGCGGTCTCTGTGTAAACAACAAAAACGTGAATCTCGGAAGATGATGACGTCATGCACATGCGTATTAAAGGAGAACTCCGGCGCAAAATGAACCTTTGGTCTAATTACACATTGTTACCTAGTCAACCGCTATCTGAGATTTGTTTTCATGATTGCCGAATGTAAATAGTTTTATCTCTAAAAACAGTTTAGCCTATAACTCTAGTATATAGGGCATAGAGTAATGACAAATAAAAATAGCTTGTTATTACCACTAACAAGCCTCAAAATAGCCCCACACTAACACGACAGCATAATAAGGGTCCCTACATTCAAACCGAAGCATTGAGAACTTTGTCAGTGTCCATACGGTTTAATAAGCAGATATTTTATACACACAGTCAACTTCACGAATACAGGAAGAAGCCATCTTTGAAAAATAGTCTCTACCAGTCGATCTACGAATGCCGATCCAAGTGCGCTGGTGAGATGTGAATAAGGTGATAAGGTGAGCGTGAACAGTAGTCTACGTGTACATATTGAAGAGAAGAAAATGGTTCGTGTTTGTGTTTCTTCCGGAAACAACGGATCATATGAGATTCTGCACAGTTCAGCGCACTTGGATCGGCGTTCGTTGATCGACTGGTAGAGACTATTTTTCAAAGATGGCTTCTTCCTGTATTCGCGAAGTTGACTGTGTGTATAAAATATCTGCTTATTAAACTGTTTGGACACTGACAAAGTTCTCAATGCTTCGGTTTGAATGTAGGGACCCTTATTATGCTGTCGTGTGGCTGAAGAATACAGCGTTTTTAGTCGTTTCCGCGGATCCGTGTGAACTGGGATCGTTTTGATGATGTCGTCTGCATGCGGAAAGCTCAAATGAAAAACTTCTCAGTTTTAGGCCCTGTTTACACGAACGCTTGCGGGTGAAAACGTAAAAAATATTTCATCGGATGTGCCTTTCGTTTACACGGCGACGGCGTTTTTGGGGCTTAAAAAGTAAAACCACCCTCCAGAGCGGAAATCTTAAAAACGCCCCACCGTCGCGTTCCCGTCTAAAGGGTAAAAACGCAAAAATCTGCTAGACAGTGAAGGTTGTTCGCAGGCGCGCAGACTCTGTGTTGTTGTGTCGCAGAGCTTCACATCGCCACCTAGACGCCTGGAGTGCACACTACATTGAATTTCACTTTTGCGTCACCATATGCACGCGGATTTCCCACCCGTTATACTCGTCTAAACGCAGAATAAAAAGCGATAACACAACGGCACTTTTGCGTTTTCTCTTCAGATCGTTTCCGCGTAAACATAGGCTTAAGCATATCGTTGTCTTGTAAACGTATCCTAAAACTGCCAGCAGGTGGCGGCAGATCATTGTCTTGAGTCGTTAAAAATTAATTTCGTTAAAAAAACGCGAATTCATTAATTAACAATGGAGCTGAAGGCAACGTCATGCAACGACATACTTAGCCAAACCTGCATTAATCGGCCAGAGATGCGTGTGATCAAGTTGACCGTCTGTTGTTTTTTTGACGAACGTTTTGTGCACTCTTGTTAGCTAATTTTCCTTGCCATGCAGATTAACGTAATTAAATTTTATTTAAGAACAAAAAGTTAATGCACAATAAAAGATGCAATGCTTAGCTTGATTTATATTTGCTTATTGCGCTCGCTTGCGCCCTTTTGTCCTCTAACACAGTATTGGCCTTATAATTTGAATTTTGCTAATATTTTAAGAAATTCAAATTAAGCTTTTCGTTCATTTTGACAGCCCAATATTGCCTTCGTTTGATGTGTCGAGGTTATATAGAGACATTATGAAGAATACTTGACATTGATTGGTTGGGAAGCAATCCGAGTTTCATTGTTGAACTATTCATTTGTTGCATGAGTGAACGTTATTTCTCCGCATTGCTCAATTATAGATCAGGAGACATAGAGGAAAATTACGTATTAGCTTTTTCTCAGACATTTCCGCTAAAACTCCTACGGCTGGTTTGATATGTAATTTTTTTAGACATTCGAAACGTTTTTTTTTTGCTTCTGAGTGGAAATGAAAAGGCATCTGAAGTTAGACACCCGCAGCGAGGTCTGCTGTCATGGGAAGGGAAATTAATTTCAAAAGTGCCTTTAACTATCATAACTTAATGGAAAAAAGAGGCCAGTTTCTTATTTGCCCTGAAATAGACATAATACAGGCATTATATCCAGACTTTTCATGCTCGTGAAGGAGGTGACGCCCCTGACGGCAAATAAATGGCAGTGATTTTTCTCACTTCTGAGCGCTTGATGTTTTTGCTCGAGGGGAGAGGAGATATCAGGCCTCTTTTCATTCAGATACACGACGCCTCTAAAATAGCTCCCGGTCAGAACAGCATGTTAGCATTCACTTCCCCTGCATCTCTGAATCGGCCATTATCACAATGTGCCGAGATGATTGCGCAGGTAATTTTCATGGGTACAGACTTCCATCGCTTTGAGCAATTATTCCCAGGAGCGCTGACATTACAGCTGTAATCCTTTTGAAAGCAGGACAGAGTTGAATATTTCAAGGTCTAAATGAAAGAGCAATTTATCCGGGATAAACTGGACCTACTGTGTCCTTTATGGCCGTAATTGTAAATCATAAAGCTGTAATTGATTCTGATGCTTCCTGTCTTCTGGATGACGGGCGTTATCTTGCTGTTCCCCTGACTACAGGCTGTGTGATGAGATAAACGTTCCAGCGTTGTTGAGCTAATGTCAGGCATAACGAGACTTTCACGTGTTCTGAAGATAATGTGACTTTCCCCCTGCAAACGATTTCACCGTGATGTGAAGATGTTGTAGGTGTTGGTTGCTAGGGTACTGTGTCTTGGGTGGTTACTAGGGTGTTTTTAGAGTGTTAGCTGGGGTGCTATGGGTGATATAATGTTTATAACATTATATAATGGTATAATATTTTTAGGGTGTTTTGGGTGGTTACTAGGGTATTGTTACACAGTTGCTGGGGTATTCTGGGTGGTTGCTATGCAGTCTCTAAGGTGTTCTGGGTGGTTACTAGGGTATTGTTGGGGTATTCTGGGTGGTTGCTATGCGGTTTCTAGGGTGTTTTGGGTGGCTACTAGGGTATTGTTACACAGTTGCTGGGTTATTCTGGGGGGTTACTATGCAGTTTTTAAGGTGTTCTGGGTGGTTACTAGGGCATTGTTACACAGTTGCTGGGGTATTCTTGGTGGTTGCTATGCAGTTTCTAAGGTGTTCTGGGTGGTTACTAGGGTATCGTTACACAGTTGCTGGGATATTCTGGGTGGTTGGTATGCAGTTTCTAAGGTGTTCTGGGTGGTTACTAGGGTATTGTTACCGTACACAGTGACTGGGTTTATTCTGGGTGGTTGCTATGCAGTTTCTAATGTGTTCTGGGTGGTTACTAGGGCATTGTTACACAGTTGCTGGGGTATTCTAGGTGGTTGCTATGCAGTTTCTAAGGTGTTCTGGGTGGTTACTAGGGTATTGTTACACAGTTGCTGGGTATTCTGAGTGGTTGCTATGCAGTTTCTAAAGTGTTCTGAGTGGTTACTAGGGCATTGTTACACAGTTACTTGGGTATTCTGGGTGGCTGTTATGCAGTTTCTAAAGTGTTCTGAGTGGTTTGTTATACAGTTGATGGGGTATTCTAGGTGGTTGCTAGGATGCTACTGTATATGGTTGCTAGACTGTTGCTATGCTATTGCTTGGTTCTTCTGACTGGTTTCTAGGATCCCTCCTTCGTTGTAAGTGTCTGCTATTCTAGGTGGTTGCTAGGATCTTATGCGGTTGCTAGGGTGTTGCAATGCAATTGCTTGCTAGGGTGTTCTGGGTGGTTGCTGCTAGGGTCCGTCCTTCATTGTATGTTGCTGGGGTATTCTAAGTGGTTGCTAAAATGTGATGTAGTTGCTAGGGTATTTTGGGTGGTTGCTATGGTGTTGCTATGCAATTGCTGGGGTCTTCTGTGCAGTTGCTAGGGTCCCTCCATTGTAAGTGAATCGTTTTTTTTTTCAGAACAGCATCAGCAATTGTTTTAGCAGACACCACTTATAAAAGTATGTATGACAGAGTGAGTTTAGAGAGACATTTCATATTGAGAGGCTTTGTGAAATGGTTTTCTCATATTGCAAGATGTTTATCGGTATATTGGTCTAATGTTGATTGATTTCTGTTTGTCTCGTTCTCTCTTTATGAGCAGAATCCTGCTGTGGATCACAGGTCTTGTGCACATCCGTCAGGAAAACCAGAGTCTGCTGTGTCTGCATATGCCTGCCAGAGACGGACGACATTGGATAACCACAATAAGATCTTTACAGTAAGTAAACGCATACTGTACATATGCATAGCTAAAGATGACATTGTAACCCTGCCAATTGTGATGCTTGAGATTTAAATAGGCCACTGAGAATATTATTTTACAGTGTTCTTGAGTTATTCTAACCTCTGGCCCACTTGGAGCACAGTATGGACAGAACAGAAGGGGGTTGATTCAGAATGAACTGTCCCAATGAACACACACATTAACTTCTTCAGCTTTACACTATGCCGTGTTTGTTGTCTTTAATGCTTGTTGCTCACAACAAACATCAAAATATCCAGAATATATAATATCCAATATAAAATCCAAAATATCCAGTCAGAACTGGGGTGTTGTATTTACCATAATGGACTATTTGCTTTTTGAAATCATCCTCTCAAAAAGAGACTTTCACTGTTCAAAATAGTTTCTAGGGTGTTATGGGAGGTTACCAGGGTGTTGCTATGTGGTTTCTATGATGTTTTGGAAGGTTGCTAAGCATTCAATAGGGAGTTCTGGGTGGTTGCCAGGGAATTCCTAGGTGGTTTCTAGGGTGTTTTGAAAGATTGTTGCTAAGCGGCTGCTAGGATGTTGCTAAGCAGTTGCTAGAGTGTTCTACAGTAGATGGTTACCAGGGCATTGCTGTGGTTTAAGAGGTTAAGTGGCTAAGAGGCTTTTTGGGTAGTTACCAGGGTGTTGCTAAACAGTTGTATGGGTGTTCTACGTGGTTACCAGGGTGTTGTTAATAAGCTGAGATGGTTGCTAGAGTGTTCTGGGTGGCTACCAGGGCGTTGCTAAGTGGTTTTTAAGGTGTTTGGGATGGTTGCCATTATGTTGTTAAGCGGTTAATAGAGTTTTCTGGGTGGTTACCACCAGGGGGTTGCTAGGTGCTTTCTATGGTGTTTTGGATGATTGCCAGGATATTGCTAAACAGTTGCATCGGTGTTCCAAGCGGTTGCTAGGATGTTGCTAAGCAGTTGCTAGAGTGTTCTAGATGGTTACCAGGGCGTTGTTGCTAAGTGGTTTCTAGGGTTTTTTGGGTAGTTACCAGGGTGTTGCTAAACAGTTGCATGGGTTTTCTGGGTGGTTACCAGGGTGTTGCTCGGTGGTTTCTTGGGTGTTTTGGATGGTTGCCACTGCCAGGATGTTGTTAAGCAGTTAATAGAGTTTTCTGGGTGGTTACCAGGGTGTTGCTAGGTGCTTTCTATGGTTTTTTGGATGGTTGCCAGGATGAGCTAGATGGTCCAACCACACCCTGACACTACCTATAACCTTATCGCTAAACATAACCCCACCCATTAGGTGTTCAGAGGCGGAGCATGACTATGTGAAGCCCCGCCCATTACGTCCAGAGAGGAGGAGCTCTGCAGCGAGTCACTTGATTAATCATGCAAATCACCAGACAGCCTTTGTTTTGTCTTGCATTTTGTGTCTGGAGGGTTAGAGGCCTGTTATCAGTTGTCAAGCAAAACTTCAGTCATGTTGTGCTTTAAATATTTATTTGATACTTGAACATAAACCCAACAGATTCACCTTGAGCTTCTCCGAGGCAAATCTTGAGACGCTGCCAGAAGTGCTAAACTTTCTGCGTTCAGAGCCAGAATTAGACTGACAAACACCAGAGGTTTAAGAGCTTTTGGATGCGCAAGACGTCGCTCATGCTTCTCCTGATTATTACAGCTGATGTGTTGTTACGCCGTGATTCTTTGAACATTAATCAACAGAAAAACAGTGCAAGATAACACTTTGTTTCAGATGCGACATTTTTGCAAACGCACGTTCTGTGATCGGCAACATTAAAAAAAACAATTATGATGAAAGAGGAAAAACACCCCAGACTGACGAGGTGAGGTGAACCGTAACCGAGAGCGCAGATTAAAATCTCTTCTGTATTACACTGACAAATATGATATTTTAATGGGAAACAGAGACTTGATTGTCTATTGCCAGGAGAGAAAAACACGTGCAATGCAAACACATTCGTGAGAATAAAGAGTGAGCAGAAAAATAGCAGGATGAGATGAGCTACAAAAACACAGTCTTTTATATATTTAATTATTTAACTGTTGCATCAAAGTTTTCTATTTAAAGTGTGCATTTGCTGACATGAGAATTATGCATATGAATGCATTAGTAAATCAGAGGTGTTTAAATTATATTTAGGTCTATCAGTAACAGTGCTTTTCTTCCACATTCTGTGCATAAATCAAATTTTAGTTTTGCTTTTTATGCCACTGATGTGAAGTTGAGCGTTTAGTCTGTGTTCGGTTTTACTGATGGTTTGGTGGTGTGAGTGTGTAACAGGTTTGCTGATAGAACAAAAAACACAGCATGATGGATCCACCGAAGTTTAATTCTGTGAAGTGTCAATCACACAACTGTGATTCCCAGCCGGAGTCGCCGATATTGATTTGATCCTCGTCTTTTCTCACTCAACCATTGCGCATTTTAATAGCAGTTTTGCATGTTTGTCCAGCATTTGCATTTCCCACGAACACCCAGAACACAACCACACTGCAAACCGCTAGTCTTAACAAAACAATAGCATTTCATACACACATTTCATTTTAGGTATTTGTTTATTGTTTTTGGAAGAAGTCTCTTCTGCTTTATTTTGCTTTATCAGAAATGCTGCAAAAAGTCAAGTCACTTATATCTGCAAGGCTCTTTTTATAATACAGAGTGTTTCAAAAGAGCTTTAAAATGATAATAGGAAAATAATGTTAAACATTTATAAAACAAAATTTGTTTCTTGCGTTTCAGATCGTTAAAATAGGGGCCATAGTCAGAATTGTGAGATAAAAAGTCAGAATTGGGAGATATAAAGTTAGAATTGCGTGATATAAAGTCAGAGTGAGTTATATCACACATTCTGAGATAAAAATTGAGAATTGCGAGATAAAAAGTCAGAATTGTGACATTTAGTCAGTATTGCGACATTTAGTCAGAATTGCGAGATATAAAGTTAGAATTGTGTGATATAAAGTCAGAATTGTGTGATATAAAGTCAGAATTTCGAGATAAAAAGTCAGAATTTCGAGATAAAAAGTCAGAATTGCGACATTTAGTCAGAATTGCGTGATATAAAGTCAGAATTGCGTTATATAAAGTCAGAATTGCGTTATGTAAAGTCCGAATTGCGAGATATAAAGTTAGAATTGTGTGATATAAGGTCAGAGTGAGTTATATCACACATTCTGAGATAAAAATTGACAAATGCGAGATAAAAAGTCAGAATGGTGACATTTGGTCAGAATTGAGATATAAAGTCAGAATTGCGACATTTTTGAGTTAAAAATTGAGAATTGCGAGATAAAAAGTCGCAATTACCTTTTTTATTCTGTGGCGGAAACAAGCTTCCATAGTTTACTATTTGAACATATATATATTTTTGGTTGCATTTTTATTCCTGATGCAAAGCTGAATTTCAGCATCATTGCTCCAGACTTTAGTGTCACATGACTTTCCCCCTCTTTCTCTCTCTCTCTGACTCTTGTATTCTGTCATCATGGCTTCCTTGAAGACTCTATTCCTTCAGTTGCATCACTCCATCTTTCCCAGGCCTTCGCATCAGTCAATATATTGGCATATGCGGCGGCTCTGACCGACACCGTGTGAATGAACACTGTCTGATTGGATGTGGAGGGTGTAACGCACATTAATGAGCGGGAACAGGAACAGGCCGGTGTTTGTTTTTCATCTGTTGGCCTTTGGTGCCTCAGCGATGGTGTTTCTCGCCGCATGAATCGATCTGTGTAACGACCCCGTGGGCCGAGCTCTCCAGAACCCTGTTCTTCATCACACAGCAGATGCCAGTCACGGGCACGTTTGCACACACGGACAATCATTAAAGTGTGTGTTATGGAGGATGTGTCGGGTGTTTGTATGATATGCTGGTCATTATGTATTGTTGCTGGATGGATGAAAGTGTCTGGAAAGCTTTTTTGTTTTCAGAGCTGCTCCACAGTTCTGTGGCCAAATAATAAAAGTCGCTCTATGAAAAATGTTCATGTTGTGTGGGCAGTAATGCATCGGTATGTTCTGCACTGATTCAAGAGCGCATTATGGAGAATATACTCTGACATAAATAAAGGATCGGTTGTGAAGTCAACGGTTGAGTCCAAAGATTTACTGACATAGCATTCATCTTACATAGGCAGTGTTTTGAGTTTAACGTTCGGTCCACATTGCAGTTTGTTTTGGCCAACGCTGCATCCAAAATCTCATTGTTTAGTAGATTGGTACACTTACTTTGCAACGGTTGAAAAGTATGCTCTATATACTATGAATGTAATCTGGACATCAGTGGTGTATTTGAGTAAGCTACTTGAACGAATCTTTTTCCGAGTCATTTGGTTCATTCAACGAACGAAATGAATGAATTGATATTTAGGTCTATCAGTAACAGTGCTTTTCTTCCACATTCTGTGCATAAATCAAATTTAAGTTTTGCTTTTCATGCCACTGATGTGAAGTTGAGCGTTTAGTCTGTGTTCGGTTTTACTGATGGTTTGGTGGTGTGAGTGTGTAACAGGTTTGCTGATAGAACAAAAAACACAGCATGATGGATCCACCGAAGTTTAATTCTGTGAAGTGTCAATCACACAACTGTGATTCCCAGCCGGAGTCGCCGATATTGATTTGATCCTCGTCTTTTCTCAGCCATTGCGCATTTTAATAGCAGTTTTGCATGTTTGTCCAGGATTTGCATTTCCCACGAACACCCAGAACACAACCACACTGCAAAACGCTAGTCCTACCAAAACAATAGCATTTCATACACACATTTCATTTTAGGTATTTGTTTATTGTTTTTGAAAGAAGCCTCTTCTGCTTTATTTTGCTTTATCAGAAATGCTGCAAAAAGTCAAGTCACTTATATCTGCAAGGCTCTTTTTATAATACAGAGTGTTTCAAAGCAGCTTTAAAATGCTAATAGGAAAATAATGTTAAACATTTATAAAACAAAATTTGTTTCTTGTGTTTCAGATTGTTAAAATAGGGGCCATAGTCAGAAT